TTGATGCTTTTCTTTAGTTTCTTCACTGAATTGCATTGAGCATGTCGTCACGATCATGTTGTAATAAACGCAGCTTGATTTCGTGTTCGAATGAAGATTTCATTGTTTTGGATTTTTTACCAGAATCTGGAAATTCGGTGGCCTTAATCTACAGCAATTTTGACGTCTTCATGTGCCGAATCCAAATATTCATCGTACGTGGGGTTCGGACCAAAGATAGCCCTAGATCTTACGTACATAATGCAATTGGTTCCATGTCAATCGGGTACGGGAGCACTGTGACATAGCCGCTCTAGCGAGGTGTGCTGCTGCTAAATTTTCTGCAACTATCTTCATGAATCATCAATTTCTCTCTAGTTTTTCTCCCTGCTCGGGTATTCTCAAGGGGCGTGTCACATATCAAAACGTTTGTCTTGACAAGACGAACACGCTCACCAATTTTGAGCGCGATCCAACTTAGAACAAGTGAGATAGTGGTCTTTGAAGTTGCTGCTCAGGACTGTGCATACCAGCCTCCTTTAATGGAGATTGGTGCTGGGAGGCCACATGGGAATACCGTGTGGTCTACCTATTTTCGATCTTTTACCCATAACTTTATCCTGAAATGCTCGATTAAGCCGAAACTTGACCCATATAGGTTTTCGACCATGTTGGATCCAATGGTGGTGGTCCCACAACTATTTGATGTATCGAAAATAGAGTTCTAGTTATGGGGTGCGTTTCAGGGTATTAGACGTTGATTTTTTTGAAATTGTTTCTTTGTCTGCATTGCCTTAAATATGTTAGATTGCAACGAAATTTGGCAGGTGGCCTTTTGAACTGCTTAATAAGAATCTGACCCGTTCTGGGGCAATTTTGAAACTGTCTAGAATTCCACTGTATGTCGAGGCTTTATTGACTAGCTTCTCTTTTATTCTGTATCGGAACTCAAGGTTCTGAAAAATGTGTTCAAATAATGTGTTTTCTGAACATTTGCCCTTTTCAAATATATAGCTGAAAGTTCATCATCTACTTTCTTATTTCTTATCCCCTTTTTTATATTGTTCCAACCTCTTCTAATCTTCCGCTAGAAGACCAGGAAGATGATTAATCCCATTCCTACCGAAAATTCTGGTCAGACATCTACACCTATTGATCCTATGCAAATCCATGTTGTCAGACGAAACACTCATGTCATTATCCCACCTGCATGCTTAGCTAATTATGAAACTTTATTACCTCAACACTAAGATTTTCTTGCTTCAATTCATTCTTACTCTGAACCTCTGACTTATAAAAAATTCGTACGCCAGCCTGTGTAGGAGTAGGAAATGGCAGAAGATTTGAATGCTCTAGATCGAATGCATGCTTGGGATCTTGTACCTCTTCCAAAGAGAAAAAGAGCTATTAGTTGCTGTTGGATATATAAATCAAAATAAAAGCAAATGGTAGCATTAAACGACATAAAGTTCATCTTATGACAAAAGGATATAACCGGTAATATGGAATTGACTTATTTATGTTGCATCTATCTAACGGCGGCTTTTGCACCAGCTGGATGTTAAAAATATATTTTTGAACTATGGCCTTGATGTAAAAGTATATATTCAGTTACCTCCTATGGTTACAGGTTTTTAAACCAAGGTGTGGAGATTTTAGCAAGCCTTATATAGACTCAAACAAGCACATTGTGCTTGGTTTGGAAAATTTTGTAGTGTAGTCATATCGATAGGAATTCGATAGAGCCTCATGATCCAACCAAATTGATGTTTAATACTTCTATTGGCAAGCGCTTCTGCTACTCTATGTAGATGACATGATAATATCTAATGATGATATGGGTGCTATTCACAAGATCAACCAAAACTAAATCAATTATTTGAAATGAAAGACTTGTGGTTCTTGCTATTCATAAGATCAACTAAAACTAAATCAATAATTTGAAAGGAAAGATTTGTGCTTCTTACTATTCATAAGATCAACCAAAACTAAATCAATTATTTGAAATGAATGTCTTGGGGTTCTTGCGCTACTTTCTTAGAAGTTTCCTATTCTCGTTGTACCTATCTGTCATCTGAACTCACGTATGCCTCGAAAATTGTCTCCCAACTTGCCTCATGGATTATAATAAGAGAGTCGACATTCCCACTGAATAGAATGTCAAATTTTGGGTACCAGATGGTGAACTACTCCCCAATCCAAGATTTTGTCAATATTTAGTTGGCCAATTAATATATATGATAATTTCTCACCTATATAATGCTTATGCAATCTGGTTAGCCAATTCCTAAGTATTCCTGGGTCTATTAGCTTAGCTACAACCTTACCCATCATTGTTATGTTAGGAACACTCTACACCAGGCTTTGTTTTTCTCCTCTTCTTCCTTATTTGAACTTCAGGCATACACAGGCTCAAATTCTGTAGGAAATCCAAGTGATTGCAAATTAACTACAAGATTTTGTATTTTCTCAGTGATTCTCTTCTATCATGGAAAAGCAAGAAACTGTCCAATCTACAATAGAATCCGAAATAGGGTGATGCACAAATTACTATTTAAGTTGGTTGGCTTTGATGGTTGCTTGCTAATGTGGATGTTATTGTTACTACTCTCCTACACCACTTTATTACGATAATAAGCATTTACATTTCAAAAAATCTAGAGTTCCATGAATGCATCAAGCATATTGAAGTTGATTGTTACTTTATTAAACAAGAATTTTTGGCAAGCACAATATCTCTTCCATATATTATCTCATATGAGCAGTTGGCTAATGCAACTTACCTCTCTCAATTTCTCTCCAAACTCCCCATGATTTCTACCAAACTATCTCAAGTTTGAGGGCAGTGTGAATTTAAAGTAGGTTGTATATCTTTTTCTATGTAATATTTTTCTTCATGTTTTTCATACACATATAAGGAAGGTGATTCATCATGTACAATACTTTGTAATAATCTATACAGCATGTGTACAATTTGTAGCCCTAGAACCCATTTGGTTCCCTAGATTTTTCAATCATGTGGAAAAGTGTATCTTGGAATTGGTATTTACTAGAATTGGCATTCACTGGAATATGGTGTATGTTGTTTAGATTGCATGTGGTAGAAACCAAGAAAATGCAAATTCATGTTTGGATTGCTTTGGAATATCTTTAACCTGGAGATGAAAATTTTAGATACTTTCTCTTTAAAAAAATTAGATACTTTTTATCTCTAAAATTTGATATAGTTTCTTTCTCTAAAATTTTGAAATACTTTATCTCTCTAAAACGTAAATTTGAGATAGTTTCTCTCTATAAAAAATTTCAGGTTGTTTCTCTCTCTCTAAAATATGATATAGTTTATTTTTAAAAATTTGAAGCCACCTTCTCTATCTAGAACTTAAAATTTGAGATACTTTATTTTTAAAAAAAATGAGATAATTTCTCTCTCTAAGAAATTTTAGTTACTTTTGCACTCTAAAATTTGATATAGTTACTCTCTCTAAAATTTTAATATGTTTTCTCACTCTAAAACTTAAATTTTGAGATAGTTTCTGTTGCTAAAACTGTCAAGTAGTTTCTTTCTCTAAAATTTTAATATACTTTCGCTTTCTAAAATTTAAAATTTGAGATAGTTTCTCTATCTAAAAATTTTGAAAAGTTTCTCTCTCTAAAAACTTCAGGTACTATCTCTACGTAAAATTTGATATAGTTTCTCTCTGTAAAGTTTATGATATTTTCTCTCTAAAACTTAAAATTTGAGATAGTTTCTCTCTCTAAAAAATTTTAGTTAGTCTCTTAATCTAAAATTTGATATAGTTTCTATCTCCAGAATTTTGATGCATTCTCTCTCTAAAACTTAAATTTTGAGATAATTTTTCTCTAAAAGTTTTGACCTATTTCTCTAAAAAAAATTTAGTTCCTCTCTCTAAATTTTAATGTAGTTTCTCTCTCTAAAATTTTAAGGTACTTTCTCTTTCTAAAACTTAAAATTTGAGATAGTTTCTCTATCTAAAAATTTTATAATATTTCTTTTTAAAAAAATTTAAGTAATTCCTCTCTCTAAAATTTTAAAATACTTTCTCTAAAGCCTAACATTTGAGATAGTTTCTTGCTCTAGAATTTTAAGAAGCTCTCTCTAAAACTTTAAATTTGAGATAGTTTCTCTCTCTAAAAAATCTCAAGTTACTTTCTTTCTCTAAAATTTCATATTGTCTCCCTCTCTAAAATTTTAATATGGGTCCGTGAGTCATTTTCATGAGATCTGAATTCCACCTATCTTGGTGGAGTTAAAATTTTCTAAATTTAGGCTTAAAATGAGCATTCAGGAATCCAACAGAAATCTCAATTCCAACATAAATCTGAATTTTAAGCGAACCAAACACTGTTTGCCCAACTTTTTCTAAGAAAAATGCCTCCTAAAAATATGAATCCAAAGAATCAAATGGCCCCTTGGGCCTTATATATGTGAAGAGTCTTAGGTTTCTCTTAAAAGGCTCCTTGTATCTATTATTCATTCGAATATACAGGCTTGTCTTTTATAGATAAATTCCAAATGATAATAATAAAAATCATAGATACTTAAACCATATCTAAATTTATAATAAAGTATCGATATTCTATCAACCCTTTATAGATAAATTACAAATGACAATAATATAAACTAAATCATAAATACTTAAACATATCTAAATTTATAATAAAATATCGATATTCTATCAACCCCCTTCCCATAAATACCGATTGCCATATATACTTTTTATATTTCTTTTTAATGATTTTCTTTAGCCTAGATTTATCCCACTCCATTTCGAAAGAATTTGTAGAATCTCTATTCCAATATCAATATAGGTATATATTTATAGGGTAAATATTATAGGGACATGCTGTCCTCTGTGTGTGATGTATGATTCCTTTAAAAAGAGAAAAGAGACCAAAATCATTTCCAGCTCTCGCTTGCCTGCGGATGGACATTACATTCTCAGCTGCCCTCTCATGCAAAAAGGATACTATAACATTAAAATAAAGTTGACATTCCACTGCACTACTCTCAAACAAAACAAACATTCTACAAATTCCCATAAAGCAAAGATGCTCCTACGTATAGAATCTAACCACTTGCTCTCTCTCTCTCTCCTCTCTTATATGAATGGACATGACCGGCACCTCACATCACCCAAATCCAGCGTCAAACTCATTAGACCCAGACCCACTAGGACCAGACCATCGAACCCTCGCTCCTGAGCCCACCATGGCGGTGGTGACGGCCAAGGACTCGGTGCTTGTCACCCCATCCGAGCCCACACCGAGCGAAGTGCTCGCTCTCTCCACCATTGACTCGCAACGCTTCCTCCGCTTCACCATCGAATACATCCTTGTCTACAGAGATGGCGACCAGGAGCTCCTCCACCGCATGCGCGCCGCACTGGGCCGCGCCCTCGTCCCATACTACCCTTTGGCTGGCCGGCTTAGAGAGAGAAACCGGAATCACGGTGGCGGCGGTGGCCTCGAAGTGGTGTGCAACGCTCAGGGTGCCCTCTTCATTGAGGCCACATCCACCTTCTCACTGCATGAAATGCTGAAAACACCGAAACACTGTAAGCAATGGCGGGGATTCTTACCAGAAATTAAAGAAAATGAGTTCATAAGGGCACCGCCGCTCATCGTTCAGGCCACCAGGCTTGTGCACAGCCGCGGCCTAGTCGTATGCGTCGGGTTCAGCCACTGTTTGTGCGACGGGATCGGGAGCTGCCAATTTCTCAAGTATTGGGCTGACTTGACGAGCGGTCGCCCAGAGCTACAGCCCCAGGTCTGGGCACGGCACCTCCTGAAGCACCACTGGCTGCCACCGTCACCACGGACAATGAGTCCGGAGTTTGAGCGGGTTGTGGACATGTGCGGCCTCAATGCGAGGCTCGACAACAAAGACAGGCTGGTGCCAAGCATGGTTACCTTTGACAGGATGCACCTCGATGAGCTGAAGCGTTCGGCAGGGCGTGGGATTACTGCATTTGAGGCGCTCGCTGCACACGTCTGGCAATCGTGGGTGCGGGCGCTCGAGCTTCCCGAAAGGCAAACCGTAAAGCTTCTCTTCAGCGTGAATGTCAGAGAGAAAATGGTGCCACCGTTGCCCAAAGGCTACTGGGGCAATGCCTTCGTGCTCGCGTGTGCGCAGTCGGGAGCCAAGGATGTGAGAGAGAAGGGAACGGCATGGGCAGCGAGGGCGATTCGGAGGGCGAAAGAGAGAGTGGGGGATGAGTACGTGAGGTCGGTGGTGGGTGTTTTGGGGGAGGAGGAGGGGCTGAGGCCTGATATGGGGGGAGTGATGGTGGTGTCGCAGTGGTCGAGGATGGGGCTGGAGGAGGTTGATTTTGGGAAGGGGTTAGCGGTGGTGGTGGGGGCGGTGTGCGCCGACGTTTATTGCTATTTTCTGCCGGTGGTTGGACGGCCGGGGGCGGTGTGCGTGGCGGTGGCATTGCCCGGGGATGCTGTCGCCAAGTATGACTACTACTTGAGGAGCCCCTCCCTTTGCTGACACCCACAAATTCTCCCTCTCTCTTTCTCTCTCTCTCTTCTTCCCCCCTCTCTCTCTCTCACTCAGTAGTCGTCCTACCTCCGTATTGTGCCATGTCCTCTCTATGTCGGCTTGATTTAGTATAAATAAAATAGATATTTATATATCAAATATATATTAATAATAAAAATAAATAAATAAATTTTTTTTTGTTATAACTGTTTATTTGCTGACTGAAGTATATGTTTCAAGCAAATTCGAAGCAGACTTGAATTTTACCAAAGTAGCTCAAAACATACCTGAATTTGACCAAAGTAGCTCCAAACTGACCTGAATTTGACCAAAGTAACTCCAATCGGCTCAAATCAGATCAAACCAGTCTAAATCCGAACGAAGCACCTAAAATCCCAATTTCATAACATTGCTATGTATATGTATCAAACCCCCTCTCTCTATCACATTGTGCAATGCCCCTCTCTCTCTATCATATCATGCACGGCCTTTCTGTTGCCCTGTCGTATACATATCCTCTCTCATGCATCTCTCTCCTCTCTCTCTCTCTTCAGACCATGTTACATCTCTCTCCTCTATTTCTCTCTCTTCAGAGTTCAGAGTATGTCTCATCATGCACGTTCTGTTTCTTCCCCTTCTTACATATCCCACAGTATCTCTTTCTCAATGCCCCCTCTGCGCCCGTGTAAACTGTCTTGACTAGGAGATACGATGAAACATTGGGGTATCTTCGGAATTAAGGCCACTTTTGGATTTTTGTTTGGGATTGTATACTTCGAGACCATCAATTTTTAAAAACGTTTGTATAAGGTTGCAACCTTATACTGTTGAGGAAAGGTGCATCTCAAGAATCTTATAGTGGAGAGTGTTTCCACATAGGAAAACCCTCCAACTGATCATCTCAACCTTGAGATGAATGGACATCTTGTAAAAAGTTATCTGGACTGTCTGTTTTCAAGTGTTATTAATCTGCTCAATCTGTACCATTTTTAAAAAATTAAATTTTCTAACTGAAGATAAAAAGAGATTTTGAGCCATCATAAGATTTTCGATGCCCAAACATCTCTAAGTAAATTTTATAGGTACAATATAAGGAGGCAACCTTACACAAACCTCACTCTTCATTTTTTTTAAAAGTAAGAAAGTTATGTGAAATCCAACATATTAAAATGTATCGTAGCTTTCTTTCTAGAAAATTTGTTTTCGGACTTTGTTCTCAATTAGTGACACATCATAACGGATCCAATTTCACATTCAAATGGTTGACAATGATTGTAACCTTCTGGTATCAAAAGTAAATGGCATCTTTATATACATTTTTTTTTTTTGTTAATATTATTTTTTTTGGGTGAGGTTTGTATAAGATGTCAACCTTATACTATTGAAGTAATGTGTGCTTCAAAACTATACCAAAGATACAGTTTCAGTACCACAAATCCTTGCAATGATATGAAAAGCTATTGTTTCCCCCCATTATGAAATTTTAAAGTTCAAGAAATAGTGACAATCAAGCTGATCTATAAACACTTAAAAATCTTAAAAATGGATGGTTCAGATAGTATGTTAAAAAGATGAGCTATTTTTAGTACTAGAAATAGCCTTTTGTTCATGCCTATGAATCTCGAGGTCGACATGACTAATTTGAGGGTTTTCCAGCATAGGAACAACCTTCTTTAGTAGGTTTTTTAGATGCACCTTACTTATACATACCCCTTATATAAACTTTTTCTTCTTTTTTTTTCAAGAAAAAATATCCTAATGCACTATCATAGAGCGTTTAATTTTATAAGTAGATATAGAAACATATTTTTTTAAAGAGATTTTCGACACCAAAATTACATCTTCAAACCTATTATTTTGATTGTTTAACTTGGGTGCTTTATATAACCCCACACCCATAAAATTTTAATATAGTGCTGAGTTACTAACTTATTATTTTAGCTTGCCTCCGGTTTCATCTGTTTCTTCCTTAACTTGGATCTCCAAAAGCTAAATAGAAGCCCGATCTAATTGTTGATTTAAAGGTAGCACCTACGTGAATTTTTCCATGATATTGCTAGTGTACGCAAGAGACAGAATGACATTTCTGGAATTTCTATTCCTAGAATAGATGAGGATGATTGGGAAGGCACTGATAAAGCAATAGTTTAACACTTTCAAAAATCCTTCACCTCTGAGGTCCGTTTTACACCCAAGATGGGCAAAATACCTTTTAAAAAGTTAACTCCTGAGATGGCCAATCTTTGAGAGAGAGAGAGGTGACAATGGATGAGCTTAAAAAAGTGGTGTTTTCACTTCCTGGAGACAAAGCTCTGGTACTGGATGGGTTCCCTCTTCCGAGGTTCTGGTCTTTAGTAGGCAGGGAGTTGCTACTTATGACCAGGGAGTTTTTGAGAAATGACGAACTTTTCAAAGGGGTCAACTTAACCGTAATTGCTCTAATACCTAAGAAGTCGGTAATGGCAAATCTTTCGGATATTAGACACATTTCTTTGTTATTTAGTTTGTATAAAATTGTAGCAAAAGTGTTGGCTGAGCGCTCAAAGATGGCGTTAGTTTTTGTCATATCCGGTACTCAATCAGCCTTTATTCAAGATAGGTTGATAACAGATAGTGTTCTCATTGCACAATAGTGTATCCATTCTAGAGGTGAAAGTAAAGAACCAGGAGTTATTATAAAGCTGGATATGGAGAAGGCTTATGATAGGGTGGAATGAAGGATTCTTTTGGAGGTAATGATAGGAATGGGGTTTGGCAATAAATGGAAGAGCTGGATTTTAGGGTGCATTTCCTCAACCCATTTTTCAGTGTTAATTGGAGGAAGCCCAAAAGGTTACTTTCGTGCTTCTAGAGGTCTGCGTCAGGTGACCCTCTGTCTCCTTTCTTGTTCACAATTTATGCCAAGTGTTTTAGTTTAATGATCAGTACTATTGAGATAGGTGGATTGTTCAGCGGCTTTTGAGTTGCGAGGGATGGTCCTTGTATCTCACATTTGCAATACGAGGATGACACTCTTATTTTCTGTGGTACAAAAATGAATCAAGTTAGTGACATTGAAACTTTTTTAAAGTGTTGTGAGGTGGCCTTGGGGTTGAAAGTAAATTTTGAAAAGCCCTTTGATTGGGGTCCATTGTAGTGAAGTATTAGTTTCAGAGTTGGTAGGGTTGTTGGGTTGTAAAGTAGATGTTTTCCCTATTAACTATCTTGGACTTCCTATTACAGACACACGGTTACCTGTCTCTGTTGGGATAGGGTAATTCAGATAGCACAAACAAAGTTAGATTTGTGGAAACCGAAATATCTATCTTGGGGAGGGCGAGTGACTCTGCTTAATCATGTTTGGCAAACTTATCTATCTATCATATATCAATGCTTAAAATGCCTAGAAGGGTGGTTAAAAAATTAGAGCAGATGATGTGTAACTTTTTATGGGGTTCTTTTGGAGACAGAAAAAATTCCCACCTTCTAAGATGGGATAGAGTATGCACACCTAAGAAAGAAAGGGGTTTATGGATAAGAAGATTGTTTCCCATGAATGATGCATTACTTTGTAAACGGTGGTGGAGAAGTTTTAAATCTAAAGACCAGCTGTGGTCTCACATCTTTGGTGTGAAATATGGTGAAGATCGTTTTTATTTTTGGATTGGAGGAGGGAGAGGAAGATCTAAGAGATCAATTTTATGGACGGACATTTTTCTGATTTGTTGAAATGTGAAATGGTGTGTTGGTCTAGGCTCCAAGGTTTCCTTTTGTCACCATAAGTGGATTGGTGAAGTGGTGCTAAAATATGTGTATCACAAGTTTTTTGAGAAAAATAACCTTGAAGTTACAATGGCTGAGGTTGGTGAAACTGTTGGCAATCGAGTAGTTTAGAATATTCAATTTCGGCGTAATAGATTGGATGATAGCCTTTTAAGTTGTTATACCAATCTGTTGAAGGAAACTGGGGATTTTATCATTCAAGGAGAGTTGAAGATGAAATAATTTAGGATGCTGATATGGATGGCCAATTTACAATTAAATCACTATATTCTCGTCTTTTTCATGATAGGTGGAGGTGGTCTATGTCACAATTGGCATCGGTTTGGAAATGGCCAATACTACATAAGGTTCAAGTATTCATATGGTTAGCAGCACAAGAAAGAGTACTTACAATTAATAACCTCATTAAGTGAGGTAAAATTTTACCAAATGTATGCTTGTTGTGCAAAAGTGATGGAGAGTCATGCTCTCACTTATTTGTGCATTGTCCCCTCAGCACAAAAATTTGATATTTACTCTTGAATAGGTTGGGAATTAGTGTTGTGCTACCTGAGAATGTGGAAGGCATTGTTTCACATTTAGCCTTTTAATGTTTGTCAAGTATTGGTGGTATAATTTGGAAAGTGGTGAGAGGAGCAGTATTGCGGGAGCTATGGAAGGAGCGTAAGAGTTTTTGAAGGAGATTCTCTATGTCACAATCCCGCCCCGCTAACCCTTTACCGTACAAGCCGACGGCGGTAAGGTGCGAGACGATAATGTTAGGTGACGAATGCCACTCAGGTGGGAGTGGCTCAATCGCATGGAAACAAGGAATCAACCATGAAAGTAAAACTAAAATCTACACATGAAGACAGATATCACACAAAAAATTCAGCCTTTTTCCATTTCATTAGATATCCAAAAGTTCTTATAATTTTCTTCAAAGCACTAATGGCCCAAAATTATAAAGGGTGAAAAGAACATCATCATGGTGAGACCATCAAAAATATACTATGAAAAGCTTCAGAAGGCGGTCTTTTAACTTCAAGCTTCAACTACCCGAGCACCACACTGCTACCCACCTTCAGTTCACGAACTAACACTTTACTCTACAGTCATGTAAATAAGATGGAATGAGCTAACATCCCAGTAAGCAGATCTACACCATTGCATCTCAACTATTATAACAGTGGTAGCAGTAAGCAGTGCACATTTATTCGCGGAATATCAAGGGGAGCCCTCTAGAATGCCTTTCAGGATTCTAATAGTATAATAGGAAAAGCAGTTCAATACACAGAGTATAAGTCATAAATCATTTTACTTTAGGCCAAACAATAACGTTAATAGATCACAATTATAGAAACTAGAGAGGCCTACTCCTGCAGTAGAAGTTCCATTGCTCAGGCTAAGCCAATCCTGCCGCCTGAAACCTCTAGCCTCATGT